CAGATTCAGTATGAGAAACATACACCAAGGGACTATCTTAGAGGCCGTAAATCTTTGAGTATAGCAGTCACTCACATTTCCCCAAGTTTTTTTTGCGCTCATCACTGCACCTGCCATGCTCAGCTTGTTTTTTTTTGTTGCAGTCGCACCGTGCATGTAGTGTGAACCGTAGAAGTGGTGCAATAAAAGTTTATTGTTATTGTTCGGCATAAGGTTGGGCTAACGCAAATCGTGCATCTTTCCTTCCCGTATGGCTGCGTATGTTAACCGTACGATATCGATGATGGCTGGCGACGGGCCGCACAACGTCGCGACGCTCAACAATGGCAATGTCCGCGTCAATATGCCAAATGTTGACTCCCCGTTGCAGATATTTGTAAGAGCTAAAAAGAAGATCAACGATATATTCATTGAGATTGATGATTATGTTAAGGATGCAGTCACTTTTATGCACGGTGAGATATATTTTACTTCTTATTTATTGTTGTAATCATAAACTGTGAGATGGACATCCATAGTGTGCCAGAATCTGCTGTAAATCATGCACATGTATGTTCCATATGAGACAATTTGCTCTTTACAACTGAATTTTAAAATTAATTTTCAATCAAAACAATGAAAATCTCAATGAAACAGTACAAAGGTAAACATAGCCTCAAAACACATAGGCTACTGTTTTTTTTAATTCAGCACAGGCAAAATCTAAATTCAACATTGTAACCTTGCAAATAAACAATAATTAAAATTAAGGTCAATGGGAATGAGTTTTCATAGTGTCATAGAGTTACATAACAATAAATACTCATGTTTCAAATTGTAATGTTTTTTAATGTAACTATATCTGTAAAGTACTAATAACTTATGTAATATTTCAGCGGTTTCGGGTGAAAACAAGATTGCAAGTGCACAGGATGTTGCCAACATTGAAGCGTACGTCAGCAAGGTTCAGGCCATACGGGAGGTGCTCAAACGAGATCACATGAAAGTCGCCTTCTTTGGCAGGTTTGTGGCAATATCTTTACATTTATACCTTTATTATAGTTACTAAAAATTACAATTCAACTACATATATGGTTTTAAAAAGCTTTAATAAAGAAAAAAGGAGATGGAAATTGAAATATAATATTCCTGGTCTGAACCAATATTTAAGCTCAGCTTGGTAGATTTTGAAGACAATGGTGTTATTTAATACTTTTTACACTGTTATAGTTCATGTTTTATTGTTTTTAGTATTTTCAATTGTATTACAGAACAAGTAATGGTAAGAGCACAGTAATAAATGCGATGTTGCACGACAAGATCTTACCGAGTGGCATCGGGCACACCACCAACTGCTTCCTGCAGGTGGAGGGCTCCGACACCGACGAGGCCTTCATGCGCACCGACGGTACAGAGGAGAAGCTCAGCGTGCAGGTAACTCAACATAACGACAAAAAACTTGCAAATTAGGCATATTATCCAATATAGTGGATTTAACGGGTTGGGACACCTATGCAGGGAAAATATTTTCTTTCCGTGCATTCATTCCCTTCTTGATTACTAATCCTATATACTCTCAATTGTAACTGAATAGTTGTACTATTTATTTAAAATTGTGTGTGACAAAACTTTAACTATACAGTTCATCTGACAATGGAAACACACATTGTTTTAACCGAATAGATCAACAATTTATTTCAAACTGGTAGCCTGCTTTAGTATGGATAAAACTCAAAAGATTTAATAAATACCTATGCCACTGCCTCAAAAATAGGTGTGAGTGATAACCATTCAATATCTAGTTATTGTAATGACTAGTTATAGCAATCTACTTAATAAAACTTACATGATTGAAGCACTCAAATGTTAAAATGTTTAGTCCAAAAAGAACCTTATGTATAAAGGTATAAAGGTACTAAAGGTTGTATTTTATTTAGTCTGTGAGCCAGCTGGGACACGCGCTATGTGCCACGCGGCTGCAGGAGTGCGCCCTGGTGCATGTATACTGGCCCCGGGAGCTGTGCGCCTTGCTGCGGGACGACGTGGTGCTGGTGGACAGCCCCGGGGTCGATGTGACTCCCAACCTTGACACCTGGATAGACCAGTACTGCCTTGATGCTGATGTCTTCGTCCTCGTTGCTAACGCCGAGTCCACACTTATGGTCACTGTGAGTATATAATGTACATGACGTGATAAATCGAAACATCCTCGGACTAGGTTTTTATGTTATTGCTACTTGAAGAATAGACGTTAGTGTTAATCTAAATGTTATAGTTATTGTTAGGCTTTATAAATGCAGCATTAAACTTAATCATATATTACTACCTATTGCCGACTTCGCCCACGTGAAATTTAAAAATGTAGCCTTTGTTACTAAGCGATAATGTAGCTTTTTAATGTTGAAAGAATTTTTGAAATCGGCCTAGTAGTTTTTGAGTTATTTCAATACATACAAAAAATACAAATCTTTCCTCTTTATAATATTAACATAGAATTGTAGATTAATATATAAAATGGTGAAAATTTTCAGGAGAAAAACTTTTTCCACAAAGTGTCAACGAAGATATCACAACCGAATATATTTATATTGAACAACAGATGGGACGCTTCTGCTTCGGAACCTGAATACTTGGACCAGGTGAGGGGTTTTCATGTTTAATCTAATAATTTCCGAAATGTATGATTTTTTATAACCGACTCATAAAAATTCCTCGGTATCTTTTATATTAAAAATAAATATACAAATTATTGTATACGTTTTCAGGTGCGTACACAGCACGCCAACCGGTGCGTGGACTTCCTGTCCCGCGAGCTGCGTGTCTGCTCGCCCAAGGAGGCCGAGGAGAGGATATTCTTCATATCCGCCAAGGAGGCGCTGCTCACGCGCATGAGGGAGAGAGAGAAACCCGTCTCATGTGAGTTACTGACTAGTTAATTAAAAAAATATAAGTTAATTCCAACTTATATAAGTACTAGCTGCTGCTCGCGACTTCGCCCACGTGAAGTTAAAAAGTACTAAAATAATATTGTCTATGTTGCTGTTACAGTTACCACTGATAATGTAGTTTTTTAATGATAAAAGAATTTTTAAAATCGGCCCAGTAGCGTTTGAGTTATTTCAATACATGAAGTTACAATACACGAAGATGTTAAAGCGGGGTCTACCACAGTTAAAATGACCTTATCTGTACTATCATAATAAAGCGTAAACACACACTTTTTTGTTGCCTAAGATGTCAGCAATTACAGCACATTTTTGAATGATTATTTTTTTTAATAATAAGCCCTACACTTACATCACGCTTTAGGCTATATATTTTCACGCCTTTAAACTTAAGGGTTAAATATTTTGGATAAAAACTCTAATGTGGGAAAGAGTCCGTAAGTTGCTGCCAACATCAAGGAAGCAAGATTGCCAAGGTTTGTCATGTCATGTCATGTCATTTTGATTTGCTATTGATAATTTGACAAATGTAAACAATAAATTTACAATTTCATGCGGATGAAGCCGCACGGGAATAATTAGTTACCAATATATGTATAAAGTGTGATGTGTACCAGCGCCGGTGCTGGCTGACGGGCACCAGGTGCGGTACTTCGAGTTCGTGGACTTCGAGCGCAAGTTCGAGGAGTGCATCAGCCAGTCGGCTGTGCGCACCAAGTTCGCGCAGCACTCGCGCCGCGGCAAGAACATCGCCGCAGACGTCATGGCAGCACTGGAACTGGTAATAATCATGCATTGCTCTCGTCTTGCGGCCGGTGCATACCAAGTGGCCAAAATTATCTATCAGCAACTTGCCCTTATCAATATCAGCTTGTTCTGGAAAATAACCTATCACGCTCTACTGGGATCGATCTATTATTACTGACAGGACTATTGCTGCCAATGATATAGTAATAATAGATCGGCCTGAGAGTTGTGTAATGTTAGTCGATATCAATAACCCACATGACGAGAATCTCGTGAAAGCCAAAAATTATTAAAATATTTGGATCTGACTCACGAGGTTACCGCCATGTGGCGAATGAAATCGACTACCATTATTCCGATGGTCGTTTCGGTGCACGGGCTAATAGCGAAGAACTTCGACCAACATCTTAAGCTCTCGCTAGACAGTTGGATAAAGAGCCCGATTCAAAAGGCAGTTATTTTAAAAACCGCACGCATTGTGAAGAGGTTCCTGACCCTGCAGCCCTGACCACTGGTTGCTTGAGTCATCGGAATCCGCAGCCTGTGCTGTATTTTTTTAGTTATCTGAGTCTATCAGCCAGTCGTGGGACCAGCCCTAAATGTTCTTGTGTATTGCAGGTGTACAACAAGGCGACAGACCAGAAGTCGTCTCGTGTGGAGAAGCAGCGCGTGCTGCACGAGCAGCTGTCGGCGGTGGAGGAACAGCTGACGGCCATCACGCGCCAGATGAAGGACAAGATCGGACGCATGGTCGAGAGCGTCGAGCACAAGGTACCCAGCTGCTGCCCAGAATGCTGCCTACTTCAATACTGTGGGAACTCCGATAAGCCTGATACCCATTTTTGTTACAAATATGACATCAGACATCTTGCGACGGCGGCCATTTTGGATTTCACCAAGAAAGAGTTCATTTGGTGCCCATGTTGATAGAAATTGAGGTTAAGGACACTGATTGCTGATCACGTGATCGATGTTTTTTACCACAAGCCTAGAGCATTGTTGCAATTGTACAATGAAACTAATAAACGAGCTGTTCCCGTGCCGCTTCATCCGCTTGAAATTATAAAATCTTTTTTTATTATCTACATTTGTCAAATTCTCAATTGAAAATTCAAAATTACCGTTACGATAACTTTACTTAATGTTGGCAGCTATAGATCCTTTCTCACACGAAGGTTTTATCCAATTTTTATACCCCCTAAGTTTAATATCTTGAAAATGTGTAGTCCATAGTGTGTCGCTGTAGGACTTTTTTTTATTAAAGAAATATTTAAAAAATATGTCGCGATTGACAATTCTACGCTATAAAGTATTGTGTGTTTATAGTTTATTAAATCAATATAGATAAAGAAATATCCGTGAATATAAAAAATATAAATACGACGTAGGTGTCGCTGACGCTGAGCCAAGAGATCCGTCGCCTGTCAGCGCTAGTGGACGAGTACGAGGCGCCGTTCCGCGCGGAGCGAGGCGCGCTCGACCAGTACAAGCGGCAGCTGCACCGCCACGTGGAGGCGGGGCTCGGACAGCGGCTCAAGAAGCGTCTCTCCGCTGACATCGGACAGGAAATGGACGCCGTGCAGAAGGAGATGGCTGGTAACTACGTGACATCGTCAGATTTTATATGCTGGATGCAGGATGTAGACTTTCCCCAATGCCTTTCAATGCGGTCCTCCATCTTTCGCCTCCAACTTGTCCATACATGAGGATTATAAAAGAAAACGCCCCAGTGTTCTTTTTATTTTTTAAACTATACCAAAATGTGGTCTCAAGCGTATTTACTTTTATATCCACTTTATTTAATAGTCGTTGAAATCCGTCATGTTTTGTTACAGAAATATTGCCAATGAAATCATTTTCACAAACTCCTCTTCATACAAAAACTAATTAGATAGCGGTGAGCTCAAACGGAGGGATAGTAATAAAAAGAAACTAACCAAATTTTTTTAAACTATAAACACTATTCTAAGCTGCGTTACAACGCAGAAAAAATATGTTTTTGTTCCTGTCCCATTTTAAAATGTTCTAACGATCGTAGCTTTTAAGGTGGAATAGCGCAAGTTCCCCGACTGTTCATAGTTTACGTTGTATTTCAGAGCGCATGTACAACATATTACCTGCGCACAAGCGCGCGGCCGCCGCCAACTACATAGTGCCACACCAGCAGCCCTTCGAGGTGCTGTACCGCCTCAACTGCGACAACCTCTGCGCTGATTTCCACGAGGATCTGGCCTTCCGCTTCTCGTACGGCATCACCGCGCTCATACAGCGCTTCCAGGGAAAGAACACCAACAAGATCGCGCTCAAGAACCCGCCCCAGTATACGCCGGTACACGCCCTCTAAATGATTCTACACCTCTCTACACGCCTGTTCATGCGTCTACACACCTCTACACGCATCTATACACCTGTATAGTTCTCTAAACATCTCTACACAACACTGCACACCTCTACACGCCTCTACATGCCTCGACACGCCTCTACACGCCTCTGCATGCCTCTGCACGCCTCTGCACGCCCCGACACGCCTCTACACGCCTCGACACGCCTCTACACACCTCTACATACCTCTACACGTCTTTACACGCCACTAGTACAACACTTTATACACATTTAGTCCCTTTTTCTTTAAATAAGCTGCAATTTGATATGCCCCTTAAATAATATGTCATAGAAATGTAATTAAGAGTAAATATTAAATTTTAAATGTTTTTTTTTTATTTTTTATCGTAAACGTTTTTTAAATACTTGATTCCAAAATGTAATTTGATGTATGATAAAATTTTATAATTTGTCTCAGATTCCGCCGGCGGTGGGTCCGGGTGCCCCCAACATGGAGGTGGTGGGGCGCAATGGGCCGGCTGCGGGGGGCGGCGGGGCCGGGGCCGTGGGGCCGCTGAGTGCGGAGGAGTGGGGCATGGTGTCGCGGTTCGCACTGGGCGCTCTCACCTCGCAGGGCACCATGGGCGGCCTGCTGCTCTCCGGGCTGGTGAGGCAACCTTACTCCTACTCTATTATGTATCATCTATATCTTTACTAATTTTATATAGAGGAAAAATTTATGTTTTTGGATTTTTGTATGTATTAAAATAACTCAAAAACTCCTAGACAACTTAGTAAGTGTTCTTCCAGATTATGTTCTACATCTGTGACAATTTTTATCAAATATAAAATTACAAATTTTTATATTCATCTATGTTCATTTTCGCATTTATATTAGTAAAATTACAGCCAGGAACTTCGTCAGTAGGGTATTAAAATAACCTTTATTATTCCCTTGTGCAATAACCTTCCCGTTCGTCTCAAAACGATTAGTTTTTTTCGTGATTTATTAACGAACTGTTAGGATTGCGTTCTGTGAGTACTTTTTTTAAAAAAAAAACACACACACACTTTAATTACTGCGAATTTTATTGTATCAAATCTAAGGGTTACATACTAATGACTATAGGACTGCCGTGTTGCGGCATGTGCGTAGCCTTTTCATAATATTGGATTGAGGGTTATTGATGACGTAGTGTTTTATACCAATAAGGGGTTAAAGACACATCACTTAATAATTATTTATTTACAACCTTCGTCTTACTCACTTGTCATGTAACCTAATCCTGACATGCGTAGACTGGTCTACGCATGTCAGGAATCAGGCAGGCTTATGCCAGTTACATCGCCACAGAGTTGTTCATAACAGAAGGAAGTGTCCGACAGTAAGTGTTTGTGTGTTGCAGCTGCTGAAGACGGTGGGGTGGCGCGTGGTGGCGCTGAGTGGCGCGGTGTACGGCGCGCTGTACCTGTACGAGCGGCTGACGTGGACGGCGCGCGCGCAGGAGCGCCTCTTCAAGCGCCAGTACGTCGCGCACGCCGGGCACAAGCTGCGCCTCATCGTCGACCTCACCTCCGCCAACTGCAGCCACCAAGTCCAGCAGTCAGTCACACACACTTTTCTATGTATAAGCATGCGGCCACCTGAATCCGCCGAAATGGCCAAGTAACCGCTGGCCAGGTGGCCGCTTGCTCGTTTGTTACAATATAAAAAAAAATCTGTTGTTCTCTGCTTTAGTATGCATATTTTTTATTCACTCTATGTTTAATCTATTATGCCTGTTTTTCGAATGAATATGTATTTATTGACACAAAAAATAAATTACATAAACGGACTTATTCTAAAGAAAACATAAAATCGTGGCAAAAGGGACTAAGCCGTTCCTGCGCTGATTTTCAGCTGGCTCCGTCACAATCACTTAATTTTATTTTCTGAGTACATTAAATGAGTTATTAGTTGATGTGTGTGAACATTTAACAATGGTAGAGCCCGCTTTAACATCTTCACACTGCAGGGCTGGCTCGCCCTTAGGAAGGAACAGTGGATTTGACGGTGGAGGAGACGCATAGGAAGGGAAAATGTACTCTTTATGTGCGTCTCCTTCTCCGTCGATTAAAGGTAGGCAACGGATATGCAATTGCGGATGTTTATGGGCAGCGGTCGTTTTCCATTTCTATGGATTCAGGTTTGCTTCAGGCTTGCTAGTTTGCCACTTTATATTATAAAAAACAACCTGTGGCAGGGAGCTATCGACGATGTTCGCGCGGCTGTGCCGGCTGATCGACGAGGCGACGACGGAGATGGACGGCGAGCTGGGCGAGGTGCGCGCCGCCATCGCCATGCTGGAGGACGCCTCCGCCGCCGCCAAGCGCCTGCGCAACAAGGCGCACTACCTCTCGCACGAGCTAGAACTCTTCGACGAGGCCTTCCTCAAGCACAACTAGCACAACTAGGCCAGGCAGCGCCCGCGGTCAGTACACACCACTACATACATATGTCTCTCTATCTACTTAGCGAACTTATGACTGATAGTTTGTTAGAGTTTGTAGCCTAAACTGCTGAAAGGGTCTCGATGAAATGGCGTAAATGTAGATGATAGTTTGGAAGAATACATAGGCTACTCAGATTTGTTTTTTTTTTAATTTCATGCGGACAGAGTTTACATTAGACCAGTACAGTTGCGCCGGAGATTTGTGTTATTTCTGTCTATTTTTCAAAGCAATTTTTGTATACTTTTGTTACTTTATTGAAATCGTTTTCAAATGTGTAATTTGAATTTATGATATCTATGTGTTCCAGCTTTGCGTGATACTAGACAATTGGAGAGGGGTAGCGGAGAGGGAGCGGCGCTGCGTCTTGGCTACCTAGTGCACTGCGAGGTATTTCATAGATCAGGCTTTAAAGTGACAAATATAATTCCTATTGTTGTTTAAATGTAGATTTTTCAACAAATTTCTTTTAAATTAAGTAAAGTATAAAAACCAAGTTTCATAGAAATTATTCATCCTTAGCAGATTTATTTCAGAGTGAAATTTTGTTGTATATACAAGGAAATGTCAATCATCATGATGATTTAATGAATCTTTTTATTTAGGAGTAAATTTGCTAGAAAACGTTTTTCAGTTACAAAATTATTGGATTTTTCTAGAAATTTAGTAACAAATTTAAAGTCTGTACTATGAATACAACTCGAAACGACAGGATTAAGACCTAAGTCAAGGCGACAGGTTTGTGAACTAAGTCAAGGCGACATGTCTGTGACCTAAGTCAAGGCGACAGGTTTGTGAACTAAGTCAAGGCGACAGGTTTGTGACCTAAGTCAAGGCGACAGGTTTGTGAACTAAGTCAAGGCGACAGGTTTGTGACCTAAGTCAAGACGACAGGTTTGAGGTCGACCACAGACGGCACATTACTGATAAGAGAGAATTGGACAAGTTGTTAGATATGTTATTTGCAGCCGCGGAAGGTAAACATTTATGTTTAGATTTTGTACAATTGTATAGTAGACTTTAAGTACAGTCGCGTGCAATTTTTTTTCTGGTAGCTAATTTGTAATGCAAATGTTACTTGAAAATGTAGGTCTTTAAGATTTTTGATTTTGTCAGAATACAAATGAATATAATACTATGAAAATAAAATGTTTTTGATTGTAAAAATGTTGTACGCGACTGTACTGTGTAAAATAGTTTTTGTTGTTGTTTATTTATTAGTTTGCAAGGCAGGATATGGTATTGTTGACATGTTGAATTGTTGTAGTTTTTTTTGTCGCTTTTTTGTGCAATTTGTGAGTAGTTTGAATGTTTACCTTCCACAATAGGTGCTATTGTTTGCTTGTGTAAATGATGTATGTTTAAAACTATGTTGTTTTGTACTGGGATTACGTAGTCCTTAAGTTTGTCGTTGCGTCTCCCGCTAGTTAGCAAACTTGTTATGCATACTAAGTTTTTTATATGTATTCCTATGGAGATATGTAATAATTGCGGGGTGACGCGATGATTGCCACCAGCAATAGTGACCAAAATCCCGCGTTATATCCTCAGTATTTATAAATTAACGAATTTCAAATAGGAGAATTTGAATATATTGTTACGTCAAAGGTCTTAAACGGGGCGATAATCTGTTGTAAATAAAATGACCTTTGATGTTAATTTGAATATTTATTATGTAGTAGTTTATTTATATTTATGGTAAACGCGATTTTCGTGTTTGAAATGCTTGTGAATGCCTACTGGGTTACCAAATGCGATATTATTGTAGGACAGGCTATGAGTGGTGACTGTCGCTTCATTAGATCGATATTATTGTTGTTTTACATAAAAATACCGTAGCCGACTGTGTTTCGGTGGCAAACTGTGTTTCGATGGCCAACTGTGTTTCGTTAGCTAACAGTGTTTCGGTGCCCAACTGTGTTTAGATGGCCAACTGGATCTTGCTGACTAACTGTGTTTCGTTAATCTTATCGAAGTTAAACAAGGTTTCTTCAATTGGTAGCGCAGTCAACACTTGTAACCAAGTAGTTAATATTGTTTCACTTTAAGTTTTACGCTTTATAAATTAAATTTTAGAAATTGGAGCGTTTGTTGAGAATACTACTAAATTGTAATGAAGTAATACATAAAGAATATAAAAATGTTAGGAACAGGAAATCATTTGAAATGTTTTATAGTATTTATATTGTTACGAGCTAATCGCAACGTATATCACAAATATGGCTAAGAGTTTTATAAAATGTGTATCTTAGTTTTGCGTAACTAACAATTGACAGATCCTTTATTTTTTTACACAAACAGAATACCGGATATAGGTTCTAAAGTGCTGTCTTAATAATTTAAAAAATAAAATAAAAATAGCCCAGTTAACCAAACATTAGTCATCACTTATGCTTTGACAGCTTAGGTTTTTTCCACTTGAAAGTTACTAATTCAAATATGACATAAAGCAAAATGTTTTAAAATTTAAGGCGCAATTTTATTAGTTGATAACTCGTTATAGCGTGCGTCCCCGCATACGGGCTAACGACTAATGAAAATGCTCGTAATGAAGCAATATCGTGCGGGGACTTATTATGCACGACTATGGCCGAATGCTCGCGGCCCTTATAAATGCGCCCTTATCGAAGTTTTCTATGATACCGTATGGTAAATAGTGCGTAAATTTAATGCAAACTCTGAAAATTAAATTATCTCGAGATGATTGCTTGTTAGTGCCACTTGCCATTTATTTTTGACATTTACTAATTAAGATATTGCTGTAAAATCACAAAAAAAGTGATTATTTTTAATTTATTCAAATCATGTCTTTTTTAAATAAACAGTTCGCATTGTAAAGTAAAATTGAACGCGACGATATCTGTATAGGGTTGGGCGTTACCGAACCGCGAAAAAAAGTTAATTTTGTGTTTTATTATTACTTGATGTCTTTGCATTTTATTTATTGGAATGACTTTAAAAAGTCAAAGCAAATGAACTATTTAACTAAATAAAAAATGTTTAATAAAGCATGACTACTGTTATTTGTGACAACCCTATTTTGTAAAATATCAAATGAGTTTCGTTGTCATGGAAATATTTTGTATGAATTTAACTTTCCCAAGTCCAAACAACTTATGTTAAATGTTGTCCAATGTAATTAGTTATCACGTAATTAGGTGAATTTTCTTATGTAAATAAAAGTAATAAAGGATTCATTTATATTTGTTGTTTTAATTATTTAACTTTACTAGCAAAAGCCCTACAAAACTAAAATAAACGAACAAAAATAAACGAAATGGAAATAAAAATCATTCGTTTATTTTTTCTTGCTTTATTAAAAACAAACGAAATATGTATAACACTGAAAAAATAAACATTTTTTTAAAACTTAAAACTGAGATCACAGTCCACATACAGGGTAATCTGGCAACAGCAGGAATAATCCATTAGCAACGCAGTGTTGCACAGTACTCTTTTAAATTATCGCACCCGCCTACATTTTTGCCACTTACTATAAGGTAAAAAAAAGTAAAAAACTGGCATGCTACGATTTGAGAGCAGCTCACTAAATCATTCCATCAGTTCGATATGTAAGAATTTCTTGAATTGGAATGTTTAATTTGTCTGGGACATGGGTATCTGGTTTCATCTGAAAATAAAACAATATGATATCACTAAAATTAAAATTGTTTTAGTTGTACAAATTAGTGTTCACACTATGCCAGTTGATTGGCAGTCCAGTCATTGAGTGCTACTGTCAAACTAACCAAGTCTAAACCATGAATGGATTTTTACTCTTACAAAGTCCATATTTACATATGAAAAGTTATTTATAGTTAGCTCCCGAGGTTCGGAGCTAAGTTAGAGGTGCCTTGGTTTTAGTCACAATTGTTGGTCATAAGTTACCAGATCAACATCAGCCTTGAAGTCTTTCTTGTTGAAGTGCACCTGGTCGTTTTGCTCGTAATGGCCGTTATGCTCGTAATGGTCGTTGTGATCGTTGTGGTCGCGTCGGATGGCGAGGCCGTGGTGCGAGCAGAGCGCGGCGGCGCGGGCGGCGCTGCGCAGGCGCAGCCAGCGCGCCACCGCGCCCGCCGGCACCGCCCCGCGCGCGCTGCTGTACGCGACACTCAACACAGACACGCCTCTCCTGAACACAATCATTTATTATCTTACTAATAACTAAATCATGTTAAACACATTATATAAGAAAAGCCTTTATTCACTGACAATATATTTTTCACATAGATTTAACTCTTATATATGATGTACAGAAAAATATAAAGTTATTGAATTAAAAAAAAAACACATTATATATTAAATAACAAAAGAAGTATATAAGATAAACTAACTAAACATGTAAGTTAACATAGGACAGATGTTTGATAGAAGGTTGGGTTATGTTATTTTTACTTAGAGAGCTTTAGCATAGCCTATGTGTTCTTCCGCGGGCGGAGACCTGTCCCTGCCGGCAGTGGTCAGGGCCATGACGGAGTCAGATGTGGTCTGGAGGGCAGTCCAGACATACTGCGAGGAAGTCATCAGACTCAAAGAGGAGGCGGAGAGGCTCAGAGAGGTGACCAGAGGGGTCGCCAACCGCAGCCGCCGCAGAGGGGGCAGGGGAAGGGCTTTTGCCCGGACCCTACCACCTTGACCGTACTCGAGTGGCGAACCAAGGGGAAGTTCGCCACTCCGATTGAGTAGCAGAGGGCGCGTGGTTCTCCGCGCAAGAGCGGTCCAAACAACCGAGGAGGCGTAACAGCCAGTCACCACCGGGGAGTGGAAGAATACTTCCTGTGTGCCCATACCCCGGTATCCGGTGAAAAGATGGAGACAGTGGGGTTTTAGTTGGTATGCTCCCGCTTATCGGGAGTGAGTCCAACATAACCTCCGCGCCTTTCCCCTCTTAGGGCGCGGGGGTATGCGTAAAGCATTTCCCCACTATAAAAAAAAAAAAAAAAAAAAAAAAAAAAAAAAAAAAAAAAAAAAAAAAAAAAAAAAAAAGCCTATGTGTTCTTCCAAAGTAACCTATAAGTCTATGCCAAATTTCATCGAAATCCGTTTAGCCTACAAACTATCCATCCATCTAAACTTTCACATTTATAATATTAATATGAAGTATGATTATCGCACAAAAGAAAATTTTAAACAGATTTTTTTTATGTATTTAGTGTAAATAGAAATTCTTCGTGTTTACAGTGGAACATAGCATAAACATAAATATTGCAAAATTAGCTTTTGTGACTTGGATGGTATGGAATAAAATTTTGTATGTAGCCTATGTTCTTCCAAACTATATTTCACATTTCATCAAATTCCATTATACCTTGAAGTTAATGAAGTAAGAAATATCTATCCATACATACTTCAAAATAGTAAATATGCCCCAAAACAAGTGTTTCTGCAGTAGAATTTGACAGCAACAATAAGTAAATAATTTGCTCCATCTATGTTGTATTACTTCATACCTTTGAATAGTGGGTAGATGTAACAAAAACGCACAATAAGTGAGTGGACACAGCTTTTCTGACAGCTGGCACAACTTCACAAAGTTCCCGTGCAGATTTGCCACTGCCATTTTATAAACCAATTGCAAATGTGAGTTCCTGCAATAATTGCATTCACAATTAAAAAATAAAGGGTAGAACAAAAAAAAAATAAACAAAACTCACCGAACATTGTACTAAAGTATGGTGATATCATTTGTTGACTAAATTACAGTAAATAAACATAATTCTGAATAACAATCAAAAGTAATTGGTCACAATTACATACACTGCTATATTCTGTTTGTACAATAAAAAAATGATTACCTACCTTTTGATATCTGGCCTCAAAGATAGATATCTGTATAATGGATGCATATCTCCTAAATTACACAACACATACAAGCTCTCCACCAACACTCTGTCACATGTTAGTCTATGCTCAGCTTTATCTATGGTCCAATTTGATAATAATTCAGTCAGCTCATAGTCTCTAGACTTTCCGTCAAGCATATCACAGCAGCTTAGAAACCATTTCATGCATTCCAATAGATATTTCTTATTTAACACAGGATCAAAATCACTTAATGGGCTGGTGCATAATCTGCAAAAATTTTTTCATCAATTTCAATATTAATTTACCCCTAATTATAAGAAACCTTAGTGTGATTTGCAATAATTATAGGAAATTAAGTTCAAAAGTACTACTTTGCAGGCCTATCTCAACTTGGAGGTGCAGGGCTTGCAAGACATAGTACTGTTAGAGGCACCAGACTGATTTTTTCCCCATGCTAAAATGTTACCCTCTTTTATTACATTTTTTAGTATTCCCCAAGATTAGTGTAAACATAAACTCGCCTGTATCCAAAATATACATAGAATCTAATCATAGGTTCAAGCAATTGCACACATTCTTCAGGCGCTAAACGCTGCACTGTCATATCTTGACGAATGGCTCGCAATCTGTCATTTATGAAGTCATATACACATGCCGGGGTTACATCAGTTCTTTTTGTTACTCTGCAAACAACAAATAAGGTTTGTAAAATATGTTACAACATTATATACATAATAGTTACTAGTTGTTTGACATCATAAGTAAATTTGCTAAGATTCTGAACATGCTCATTAAAAGTAACAGATTATTAAAAAAAAATACTGGATGTTTCTTTTGTATAAGAAATAAGTACCTTAGTAATAAATACTGAGTAGTCTCTTTAAGTATAGGAAATGGTCTCAAGAGACCAGGAATCGCCATATTTGAGTCTGCCGCTGAACGACTGTAGCTTTTCACCAGTTGCCGTGTTGAGCCTACAACTTCCAAAACGTGCACGAGTTTCTCTTTCGCTCGTCTGAAATCAACATAAGGAATTATGCTTAAAGGATAAATTAATGCCATTCCTAACATGTATGAAGGTAATATCAAACAACACTTTACCAATAGAATTTAACAAAAATAGTAATTTATAAAAAAAATCTGTAACTTACAATTTCTCTTCGACTTGAGGACACATCTCATAACAAGATCCTCTGATACTTTCAGCGTCCCATTTTTTATTTTTAATATTTTTAGAGAAAAAATCAATATATGACATGTTTTTGAATTATGTGGATATGTTATGTTCAATGTTCATGCAGGTAATAAATAAGTACTACGTACAACAGGAGTGTGTTCTATCTGTACCTCTTGCAGTTAAAGTAAAGAAAAGAAAACCTTATGCTAAGGGTGTAAGAGTCTCGTTGCACGCAAAATGAAATTGAAACCGAGTGAGAGGGCTACAAGTGTCCGATATTTCTCGTTCTGACAATGACTTAGAGTTGCCAGATATCAATCCTTTCGTTGTTTGTAGAAAAATAGGCAATTGATGTGATGGAATGCAGTAAAAATGTTTAATAATAATAAGCTAGGTTTGCTTTATACAGTTTACAAGAAATTTGTTTAGCAATGTCCAATTTAGAATTATGTATTTTGTATTGTTTTTAAAAATACATTAATGATAACACAAATACGTTAAAATCTATCTGAAGCAATAATCAGCTGGCGTCAGAAGACAAAAACAATATTTTTATAATATTTGTCCTTGAATCATATTTTAACATAGCGATGGTGTTTCGCCAGAGAGGGATAGAACAAACAGTTATTGAGATCTCGCTCGGCTTAAATTTTTCGACAACAGCTCAATCCTGTTCTAGTACTACATCCAGGGTCCAGGGTTAAAAACTTTTCAAAAATGTTGATGTTTTGCGATATTTCAACATTTGTCATTTGATTTTTGATAATCAAATGTCAAAATATAATTCGTTTGCCTTTTTAAACAGCAATTTTAAGGCACTGGATTCTTGCTCATTATGAGTAGTTGACACTTGGCACTTAGCCAGTATAGCTCAATAACTATACTGGCATTTAACGGGCATTATATGACCATTAACTGGCGCCAGTGATTCTTGGCTGGCCAGCGGCAAGAGAGGAGAGGAGTTAGCCCTAAACTTGTCTGATTACAATGCAACAAATAAACATGAAGTATTAAAGTAATATAACTATAACCTTATATTAGGAAAGGCCTCCTAAAAGAAGATTTATCAACGGAAATGCTTGCAAGCACTTATAACAATTATAGTCCATTATAGTCGGAAGTATGCCGAATTGAGTTTCATTTATTGACATTTATCATATAACAGATCTAAATTATATTATTTTGTGTGTGTTATAAGTCGATGTATTACATAGGCAAACGTAGCATTTCTACAATGTTTTCGATTACAAGAACGTTTATTTGTGTCATAATGATCGTCACAGTATTGGCAAGTTTTTTTTTTAATTCTTCACAAAAGTTTTGCCCTTTTTTATTTTTTACATTTATGACATACATTTACAATATAAAACTACGTGTTAGTTAGATAAAAATTTTCCTTTCATTAGAGCTGGCTAGTCTACCGCATAACTGTTGTGCGAATGTTGATTATTTAGTTGAACAACAAAAAATCGAATAGTATGCGCACCTCCATATAAGCTCTCTGAGAAATGACTTCTTGTTGCAGGGGGTAAAGGTGTATTTTGAAAAGGCACACGTCGTTAGTGTTAATCCAAAATACCTTTCTTATGCATTTTTAAATGTCACTCGTTACGAAAGAAGAGGCAACTACTACATAAATTTTGTATTTGCTAACAAAGTAACCGTCGCGAATAATATCACGGTTTGTTTCTTTCTTATATTACAAGGTGGCAACGACCGCTGCCCGTAGACATTCGCAATTGTAGATGCGTTGCCTACCCTTAATCGACGGAAGAGGAGACACACATAAACATGATACTTCCCCTTCCTATGCATCTACTCCGCCGTCAAATCCACTTTTCCTTCCCATCCTCTCCTCTTAAGAAAAGGGTAGAAAGAAAAAAGGGACCAAAAATAGACACTTAATTGTATAAGTAGATTTGAAGTGAATAGCGCTTTTATTGATATGTGGCGAGGATTTGTACACAATATCCTGCTCTCGTTCCTACGGACAGTCGACACAGTATGTATTGCTCTTACATACATCTCTATTAGCCATTATATTTGAATTCAAGTATATCCTTTTTCACATAATTCATACATATTTTTTCGGTCTTCCTCTTCATCCACATTCGATCATTTGTTATCATAAAAAAGTCATATTTAACATCCCCAGGTGACAATCAAAGTCTTTGAATATCGCTGGAATAATTACTACCACTCTATTCTTGAATTTCGCCACCAGTTCTGCGACTTCATCGAGAAAGATGTCTACTTCGGAGCGGGAATCGGCGAAACCGGTTTAAATTGCCCAGTAATACCTGTAAGATAATTTTACTTCTTACTAATACTCTAAATGTGAAAGTTTAGATGGATCGATGTTTGTTAGTTTGTAGCCTAAACTGCTGAACTAATCTCGATGGAATTTGGCATATTATCAACTTTTATATTGCTTTTTAATTATCTGCAGATGGAGTCGCGATTAGTTGCGAGAATTTAAAAAATTGCCATTTTGAATAATTCCGAGATTTCTTTATTTCTGTAATTTTCAGGGAAAACATCATGTAATGAATTTGAGTGCCCACTTTGAAAGCTTCCCCAACGCTTTGCTTTTTGATAAGGCACGAGTTAACGTTGTGTTCAATTTGGTTCGTAATGGCGACTTGGTTGCCGAGGGAGCTGTTTATATTGAAGTGAAAAATGAAATGAAAAACAAGAAACGCACTTAAAATGGCAGTATATATTCTTTTTCTATTTATGTACGAGTATGTTTGATATTAAATATTTAATTTTTGAGAGTTGTTGTTCATTGTTGTAGAAAATTGTGTGCTTTTTGACTTTGCTTCCTCTGAGTTCGTTCGGAAACGTAGTGTTAATCAACTCTATGCGCTGATCACAGATTGAGACAACTTGAAACTTTGTCACACCGGCAACCTTTCATATCGACAATAGTCTGGCATTGCAAGTGTGTTAAGAATGAATGTGGATGGCTACAAAGGAAGAGGAAGACCGAAGAAAGTATGGATGGATTGTGTGAAAGAGGATACGCTTAAGAAAGGAGTGGATTCAGTTATGACGGCTGATAGAGATGTATGGAAGAGCAACACATACTCTGCCGACCCTCCCTAAGGGATAAGGGCAAGTTGATGATGATGATGATGAATAGTCGGGCATTGCAACAGACCCTTAAACTATGTAAAGTAAAAAAACTGTGGCTATCTGTGTTAATACAGTTCATCGTCACTTTCATTTTTTTGATAACATAGGGTGGCAACAAGCTTGAAGATAATATTTTCTCTTCCTATGCGTCTCCTGCACTGTCAAATCCACGTTCCCTTCCCATTCTTTTCTTATAAGAAAAAGAGTGGAAAGAAAAAGGGACTAAAGTTGGGTTCCGGCACCACACTCATCAGACGAAACGTGGAATTTCTCCCACTTGACACCTGTCTTCTGTGTGGTCGTGGTATTTCACCGGTCGAGCCTACCCATTCGTGCGAATATGTTAAAACGGACTCTACCACTGTTATAGATTTATGTAGTTAACATTAAAAATTTTATTTCGAGTAATGCTGTTAATTTTTTTAACCTTATATTACAATTCCTTATCCTAATTATGTTTGTTTTTCTAAAAATCGAATCTTCCTTAAAATGACGAAAGCTCCTTACCGCGTCATAAACCTAGATCCACAGCTGCCTTTTAAGTAATGCACGTTAGAATGACATTTAGTACAGTTCTTTTCAAATATCTTGCCGGCCCTACATTATCGGAGAACTGGGTAGTACCTTACCCACACATCCAAATACGCCCATTACATCTAAAAGTTACTAATTAGCCCTTCCGTTCTTTTTTCATCATTTTTTTTCTACGAATATTTTGACAGTAGAAACCCACGGGCAGTCCGTCAAGATTGTTTACTTTTTCTTATCAAATTTACGCAAGTATTCTATTCATTGAACTTGTGACTCTAAAGCAGGGGTTCTTAAACTGTTATTCTTGATAAAAGATACTACTATGTAAAATCTAAAAGTCATTAAAAATCGTTTAACTTCAGCCCATACTGGGATATTTCATAACTTTCATACTAAGATGAATCAGAACGAATACTATCTTGCGAACTTTTCGTTAGTGCGAAGTGTAGTAGTGAAGTACCTAGTGGTCCAAAAATCATAGAAGATAATTGTATTGTTTTTAGCAAGGCGAACTGGCGTACCGCCGGCGACCAATGGCTTACTGGCAGGTAAATTGAAACACATTTAGGGAACATACTTTTGTTTCTTTCAGTCAACGAACCACTAGTTGAGAACCTGTGTTCTAGAGATTAATAGTGATACAAATTTAAAGCGTAAATGTTAGTGTTTGCAACATGGAGACGATCACAATCCTCGCTTTACTCTTCATTCTATTTTGTGCACGTGCTCATGCGCAGTCGTTACGTAAGTACTAGTGTTACTTATCACCTTTATTTATTAGCTCATTTATATTTAAGAGTAACAGACAAACGTAAAAAATTTACAACCATGTTGTGTGGTTTTAAATGTCTTCAAATTTACATTTTACAAGTCAATCTAATTCTTGGATATAGTGAAAGGTATTGTGGAAAGTCCAGTAGACTGACACATAATGATGAAGAACAAAGTTGACGTCAATTGTTTCATGTTGTTAAAGTTCTCAGTAACCAAATAGAAAAAGAATTGGGTGTTTGATATTTAATGGATCGTTTATTTCAGAACATTGCCAGGACAGAGCCTTGAGATGTCAAGATGGGGTCTGCGTTGACTTTCAGTTCTCGTGCGACACAGAGACCGATTGTTTTCGTTTTGGTAACAAACGTGTCCGAGGTAAGTCGCAAGAACTCCACAACAATACGTCATAATAAAATCTCGGTCTAACATAAATGACAGAGATAACTGAGGAAGTAAGAAATAACGTTGCAAATCTTATAATTCTTTCATATTCATTTTATTAATGAGTTGTGTTTTGTAATTATATTTCTTTTACGTCGACATTGTTTTAGATAGTAATGGTCAGTTGGGCTGCGATGTGAACGAGTTCGAATGCCCGAACAAGCGCTGCGTGCCGCTGAGTTGGGTATGCGACGCGGAGGAGGACTGCGAAGATGGCTCCGACGAGCGTGACTGTATGACCCTCGACAGCATCCCCATCACTTGCCCCGCTAAACTGCTGCGGCCCTACTTAAAAACATTCAAAAAACATAACATTCAAAATGTTTCTATAACTTGTACATCTTGTATCTCCTCAGGTAAGGTTCTAATATAGATCAGTTACCGATACAAATACATTATTCACTAAGAATGTACTTATACCACTTACATCGGACGATACTTCGTCAATGTTTAAAATAATAAAAATAAAATAAACGCATCACAAGGGTTTTAAGTTACTTTATATTGAGTTAGAGCTGTAACCGTCGTCTTACAACGACCATCTTGATTTGGAAAGTCCACCCGACGCAAAAAGAACCAGACTCGCATTTATTGAAGCGCGTGGTTTTGATTATGCAGAAGAAAGTGGCGCCAGTGGAAACAAGCACTTTGTGTGGTCTTTGACGTGTCTGTGGATATTGTACATAACCCTTAGTTATTGCAGTCGAGCTGTTACTCACTTAGTTAATAGGATCTAATGTGCGATAATGTTAGTTATTTGTATGGTTGTTTTCAATACATAAAAATGACCTTATTTAATTTTTAATTTTATAGGCCAACAAAATACAGCGTTGAAGCTAAAGATATATCCGGAACTCTCTACAGTTTACGGTAGGTCACCTAGCTTATAAATATAATGGGTTTTTGTTGTTTTTTCCCTGTTACCTACCTATTATTAAATTATTTTATTTTTTTCATGGTCGGGACCAGTCCGCGTTGGTAAGTTATCATCAATTAAATAAAAGTATCCACTAAAGGGCGCGGAACCTAACCTAAGTTAGCCCTTAGGCCTTAGTAAATCACGATGGCCCACTTTGGGTTCGTTGGTTAACTTCATATGTGTTGATTTTTTCCCCAGATATGTGCATGTTGCATCACGATGTTTTCCTTCAAAAGCACATCGATTACGATATGCTTTTCATATACTTTCATCTTCCTCCTTATCCTCCACATAACTCTATCAGTCGTCATCACTGCCTTTTTGGTCATGTCACCTTTCACGCAATTCATCCATATATTTCTAGGTCCACCTCTACCGGTGTATTTCTCCACACTCATAACTAACATAAACTAACTAACATTACATGCGATTCATACCTCCTCATATTTATTTCATATACACAACGGGATTTGAACCCGGGTCCTAGAGATGTGGTCAAGTATTCAAAGAAAACGTAACGGCGCGAAATAATTTTTAATTTTTGAACGATTAACATAGATATGGTAGATAAGCCGTTTTTCTTTAATATTTTTCCAAAGATTTTAACACTAATATTTAAATAAAAAAAACAATATATGGTAAGTAAACAAGTTATATTTAGCTTCCAGTTGCTTTTAGGTATTTTAATTTGTAATTAGGATTATGCATATTATGTCGTTTATAACTTTACCCATCCACTTTTTGTACTTATGAAAGGGTAAAATAAAATTCAATCTTTATTTACATTGAGCATGACAATTGAACATTAAAAAAATATGTTATACGTAATATCTAAATAAATATTTATAAGTGATCGGCCACATATTGTGTGTAGGTTATACTTTAGTATTGCAATGCCGGGATGAGGGCATTATGCGTGTGCCTGTGCTCTGGAGAAGGAAAGGCAAGGGACTGTTTTCAACCAGAACCGCAATGACGAGAGGGGGACGTTTGGAAATCCAAGAGGCAGATGTAAGTATTAGACAATTTTTAAACAAATTTACACAACTTAAGATTCACAATCGTGTAAACGACCAACTGGAAATGCCGCTATTGATAATTTGCACACGATGCATACAACAAAATTGAAGCAATAACTAATTGTTTTGTAAAGTCTAAAAGTTCTTTAGACTTTACAAGATAATTATAGTTCTATCGTAACTAAAGTTGTTTAAATAATTATTGTTTCAATTTCATTGCATGCAACGGGGAAGAAACTTGCATCTTGTAAATGATCTTTACGCGATCGCTGCCCATAGACATCTGATATAATAGGATATTTCCCCTTCCTGTCCCCTTAACCTCCAATGCAGCAAGCCACAAACCAGCAAAATTGATCAAGTAACGTGTTTTCAGATAACGGATAGTGGGACCTACGTCTGTCAATCACATAGTAGGCATTTACTCGTACGCCAACCCGATACAGAAGTAACAATCTCTGTTGTAGTTACAAACGATACTGTAGTTACAAATCAAGATATATTTAAAGGTAATCGAAATTTCAAGTCGTTTAATTTAATTATTCAGTTTTGTAAACTAAATAAAGTGATAAATTATTTCATGACATTAACAGGTATCCTCTTTAACAGAAGTTGAGCAACCAAAATGTTACACGGACAAGTTCCAATGCCATTCGGATAAGCGGTGTTTGCCGTTGGCATGGACCTGCGATGGCGAAGAAGACTGCTCAGATGGTTCCGACGAACGAAATTGCTTCACTGTAAACTCCAAATAGTTAATTAATTATAATGTATCCCATAGCCTGTTACAAATAAAAGCTACAAATTATTCGTACCGCTTATTTTACGCTGAAATATTAAAAAATAATTACTTGCCCGAACTTTGCTAGAACTTAGTGTTATAAATGTCACCTTGCACTTTGCTTTTGCCCTGCATCCAGTGTTTTGATCAAAATAATTCAATAAATCTATTCTAGCAAGCAGCGGTTTGATATCTGCTGGCAAGAATTTTCTTTTGAGTATTTTTAAAGTGGGCGACAACGCTCCCTTGTTGGCGCTGGAGTCCTAAAGAATACCCTGGAGGCGGAGAGAGCCCAAAAAAAATATATGTAACTATAAGGATGTTGATTTAATAAAATGATCTATTTAACCTAGTTGTTTTACATTTAACATTGACTTGTTCAACAGAATGTAACGATTTTATTGCATTTGAAGTTTATTAAACGTGATTAAGATTTCTATCAACAACAAATCCACGCTATTTATAATAAGTAGATTTCATTATAATAATTGTACTTGATGCTATCCATACTACATTCGTAATTAAATTAAAGAGTAGGTGTACCAACTTCCAAAGAGGAGGTTATCAATTCGTCTGTTTTTTATGGCATTTTTGAAACTTCGACAGTCGCCTTTCAATGAGAAAATGAGTTACCTTACAAGAATTTGTTTTTGTGTATTATTGACCACCAGTGTTTTAGTTAGTCTATGTAAATTTCTTACAAATTCTGTTATACACTAGCACGAATTTACCATTTGATTTAATGTTTTTTTTACCTTACCTGAAATTAAAAAAATTGCAGATTTTACTTAACGTACTAAGGCCTGCATTAACACAAATATAAGTAAATTATTATAAATTTAATATGCATAATATAAATCTCCTAATATATTCTTGCAGGGGGTAAAAGTGATTTTCGAAAGAGGACGAGTTCTCTATTTTAATCACAAATACGTAGAGAGTGCTTGGGGAAACGTAACTCGCTATGGGAGAAAAGGCGATTATTATGTAAATTGTGAATTTGTTACTAAATTTGTTGTTGGAAATAATGTTACGGTTTGTATTTGTATAGCTAAATGTACATTGTAATTTAAATGACTCCTCTGTTTAATTGTACCTGCAACGCCGCCTTCACCTTGCCCCTTCAACTTGCACCCCTAGGCGATACCCATAGAATGATCTATTAGTAGAGATAAGTCAGAATGAAATATCTGTATGTTTTATCGCGCTGCCTTCGTGGTGAAGACGCAGCGCGAAGGTTGTAACAACGAGGCCTTGCCATGTACACCCACATCGCATTCCCACTAAGTGACAAGCCACCAAATATTGACCATCCACACAACTCATTTTAAACACCTCAATAATCAAGCTCGTTGTTTATATTTATAGGAAAATTGATTCATTATCAATTCATCATCATCCACTTGCCCTTATCCCTTATGGAGGGTCGGCACAGTATGTGCTGCTCTTCCATACATCTCTATCAGCCGTCATATCTGATTCATCATCAATTAATTATCTTAAATGTTTTCAGTTCTCGATCAAGTTGTATGAATTTCGATGGAACGCATACAAGCTGTCTTTAGTCCATTTCCGCTATAAGATATGTGACTTCCTCAATCATGACCCGTATATGGGAGCAGCGGTGGCCCCGTTGGTTGGGCGGAAATGTCCTCTGAACCCTGTAAGCATCTGTTACATTCATTCTACAAATTTTAAAATAACATTGTGAATATCTTGGAGGTAGGTAGTCAATTGCTAACAGAGAAAACGCTTCAGCCGTGTCTTTGGGCTTTAGTATGACCCTCTAATTAAATTAAGCCTACGAATCAAAGAGAAAGTCACAAAGCAAGAAACCGAATCTCAGGAGGATAAATGATTTGTATTCGATGTTGTTCGCGGTGTGTGCTAAATTTGTTAGTTGGTTTACTGTAACTCATTTACTGCGACAAGTAAAGTCATAATTATTCATCTGGTGCGGCGGCGGGCCGAAATGTGCCCCCAGTGATATTTCCGCCAGTGCGTGGCAGGTCTTTCTAGACCCGCCAGCACTAGGATAGATTAAATTGCTATAACTTTGTGGGAACATAATGTATGCATTTTATGTCTATACACCTAAAATAATCGTTTCCCACTTGCGAGAGGGACATTGTTTTCTTCGTCCGTACCAGCTTAAGTACCGCGTCAGGCGGATATCGACCTGTTATGCAGAGGACGTGTTAATACGCTTTACTTGAATACTAATGAAAATCTTTATTTTTTCTTTATAGGGGAAATATACATTGATGAATATTACTGCAAATATGGATTATTTCCCAAATATTTTGCCGTTTGAGAAGGGTCGAGCAAATTTAGTTTTCAATATGACATCCACAGGAGAGCTACTGGCAGAGGCGGAATTATACGTGTCAATCAAGAATAATGTAAAAAACAAGACAAGCGGCTGAAGCATCAAACTATGATAAATGATTTTGTACTAAGAAACGCTATAGTCTGCACACCCTTGTTCGTTTTACCTTTCACGCAATCCACCTATCTCTAGGTCTTACTCACTATTTAAGTTGCCAATATAAACTATTATTAACATTCTAAAACCATAAGTAAAATTCTACTTATCATACTTCTCTCCCCATGACTCAATTTCCTTAATATTTTTACCACTCTATTAAACTTATTTCGTTAAGTACGAACGCTGTAACACAGTATCTTGTATTGATAATGTCAATAAATTCAATGGACTTTATAAATAGATGTGTTTAAATTACATTGAAACTACTCCGCATTTCCCCTGATGACAGTGACCATTGGATGTCTGATAAAAATATTATAAAAGCCCCACACACTGGAGACTAAACTATTGTCTGATAGTTTAGTCGTACTTTGAATCCTGTACACATGGAAGTGCGTACATAACACGAAATTTGTCGGCCGACCTAAAAGTTAAAAGGGATGCGCAACCAAATTATCTCACAACTACGGACCGACTGCTTGAGTCCTATGGTGTAACATAAAAAAGTGATCAAAACGATTTAGGTTATTCACAGCTAGACTTTAAATGACGTTTTTAATGAAAAAAAAACAGCAAATTTAAAAAGGTATAAGTCTGTCATACATAATTTTTAGTTTTATGTTCTTATAGTTTAGTAACCTAAGCCTTGAAAGCAAAATTGTCCTAATTTTAACAGAATTTTCGACACACTTTATTGCGGTTAACTCAAAACTAAACTTTTTGATTTTCAAAAAATGGGATCAATTGCCACGTACCAAACGTCTCCTATAATTATTTTTTTGAACACCGGACAACCAAGTGCATGGGATGAGCGGTCAAAAAAACATACAGACGAATTACAGAACGATACAGGCATTGCCTAGTGTGGGCATCATCAGACTAAACGTATCAGACACAGATTGTAATTTGATATAATTGTAATTGTGTAATTCTTTTGTTTTAAGTAAATTATTTCTATTTCTAATTGCGAACCACCTCCTTTTGGAAGTCGATTAGAACTAGTAATAAAATTATTCAAACATTCTGGTTAACTACTTTAAAAAACTGGTCGGTGCCGTCACCGGAAAAAAGTATGACGTCAGTAAGAGCCGAAAAATAATTAGTTATAAAAACTAGTAATATGAAATGCATCGTGTAAAATATTTACCGTATCCCTGTAGAAGAGATGCACCCAACAATCCGCCCACTGTTTGCCTTGAAGAGGCATTTACAGCTTCAGCGAGCTTGATGTGGCCGAGCGCAGATGGTGCGTAGTCTAAACCTCGTTTATGAGTAACTTACCTCGAAGGCTCCCTCAGGAGCCTCGGGCTGTTACTTCGTTATGATTACCGGATTTGGAGTCCGCCGAGCTCTTAGATAATCATAACTCTTAAAAGCCTGCTTTTCTTAAATTCAAATTGAAAAAATAGTAAAAAAAGGAAAACAATATTTTTATATATTTCCGTGATATGCTCTCTTTTGTTTTCTAACTTGAAGATTACAAGTCAAAGGAAGCATGTAAACATCCTAATCATACTAATACTAATATTATAAAAGCGAAAGTATAAATGGATGGATGGATGTTTATTAGAGTTTGTAGCTTAAACGGCTGAACGGATTTCGATGTAATTTGGTACAGATGTAGAGGACAGTCTGGGAGAACGAGAGCACATAGGCTACTCACTTTTATTCTTTTTAATTCCACGCGGACGGAGTCGCGGGCGAAAGCTAGTATTTAAATGAAATCGATTGTAGGTTTTACAATGCGATTATCTTTGAAATGGGTAGCGGTACAAGATAACGCGGTATCTTTGAAACTTAATGTATTTAAGGGTAAGCCCACCTCTACCTATCACCAATTATATTAAAAGCTCACCTTGCAATATGAGATTCTTTACTCGTGAAATGCCCGTACCATTCTAACGGCTTGCTTCTTAATTTCTCTACCAATGATTTGATACATTAAATGATCATTAGCTTGTATATGTCGATTAATTCTACATTAGTCCACATCTCTCTCTAGACCATTTAATAATGCATTAATACTCTGTTCCTTTTGTATTTTCCCGTCATTTTTTGCTTCCCATACGCGGACTTCATACATTTTTATTTAAAAATTTGGGACAGTTTCTGGTGAACTTGTAACTAAAATGTATTCAGAGATTATCAAAGCTTCCTTTATATTCTTTCTATACATTAGTGACGTTCATGTAAGTAATTTAATCATGTGAACATTGCCATGGGTAACTAAAAGTTTGCTCGAATGGGGTCGGCTCGCCCGGTGCAATACCACGACCACACAGAAGTCGGGCGTGACGAGGGAGCAATTCCGCGTTTCGTCTGATGAGAGTGGTGCTGGTGGCTTTGAACTTTAGTCTCTTTTCCTTCCCACCCTTTTATTATAAAAAAAACCTGGGAAGGGAAAGTGGATTTTTCTTACGTTGTTAAGGGTAGACAACGCATCTGCAACTGCGGATGGCTAAGGGTAACTTAGTCATTTTGGCGGGTTCAGTTGGCCGCTTGCTCGTTTGCCACCTTAAGGGGCGGTTACGGCAAATTACGCATTTTTGGAGGCATAGAACAGGATTTCTACAAATATTTGATTCGTGATATTTTAGTATGTGTTACTTCAGTCCATTAACTAAAGGCTCGTGGAACAGAATCACGATTGGACAAATTTTTTTTTGATAGATTTATTTTTTAAAATGTGCCTGATTCTGTAAAAAACGCAAATTGTCCCTAACACAGCCGCTTAAGATAAAAAAAATATATTTCTATGGTTTAGGCAGTGGATATAAACGGTTAGAAGTAACTTAATTTTGTGTTGTAGAGCTTAAAAGTGACCTTTGAAAGGGCGTACATGATCTACTCGAACCCGAAGTACGTAGAGTACGCTTATGTGAACGTGACGCGTTACTCCAGGCAGGGCGATTACTACGCAAATATAGAGTACAGCTCTAGATATATCACGACAAATAACGTAACGGTACGTACTAACTTAATTTATGTTATGTGTATTATTCAACGTTGGTAGAATAGCAGTGTCACGACAGATGAGTCATTATTCCGGTTGCAACGTTCCTAACAAGAAATGTAACAAATTCGCAGATCCACATTTACTTTTTCGAGGAATTACGTAACCAATACAAGAGGTCGTTCATCGAGTTTCATCACAAGGTCTGCGACTTCCTCACAAAGGACCCGTACATCGGCGCGGTGGCTGCCGACTTGGGACTCAACAAGTGTCCCGTCAGATCCGTAAGATACATACCATCTGACGAAAACAGTTACATATGGGATTTTGTGTACTTGTAATTCTTTTCGTCATATGATCGATATAGTTTGCCCAATAAGTCAGCTATCGTAAGACCATTCTTAATCCTCTACCTATATATACTTTACCTTTGTAACCATGTTATTTTTCTAACCTCACAGGGTGTACAGAGATTGCTGAACATAACAACCAACTATGATAACTTTCCGAATGTCTTCCCATTTGCAAAGGGCAGGATTGACTTCTGGTTCAACTGCAGTGCGACTGGTGAGGGAGTGGCAGGCGCGACCGCTTTTGTTTCATTCAAGAACGAATTCAAGAGGAAACAAGGAGAAAGAAAATATTAATTAATTATACCAGGAGACAATTTACAATGTTTTTTTTAGGAAATTGACTGTAAATCTTATTTGTGGTGGATTGATTTTTTAAAGAGTATTTGTTAGAATAAAGAGTATTTTCCATTTTAATTTTTTTTTACATCAAACTTCAAATTCAGAATTTGTCAAATAGTTCTTAAGAACGCCAATCAATACCGTTTATATTTTTTTTATTTATTTTTGTGTTTTTGCTATTACATTTGTTTAATAAATTTATTTAATAAATGTAAAAATTGATTATTCTTTCTACGTTTTTGTCTAAAGTTATATTTACAGGTAAGTGTTTTTATAAAAAAATCTTTATAGTTACCTAACTTTTATTTAGCACAATAATTCATCATTGTAGAAAGTAATATACGGTTATGTTAAATGGTTGGTCATAGTACTACTCTTTCGCCCGCGACTCCGTCCGCGTGGTATTAAAAAAAACCAAAACCAACAGCCTATGTGTTCTTCCAGACTATCCTCTACATGTATGCCAAATTTCATTGACATCTATTCAGTAGTGTAGGCTACAAACTCTAACAAACATCCATCCATCTAAACTTTTACATTTATAATATTAGTATGAGTTTCATGTTATTACTAAGTTTATAAGTAAGAATGCTTGTAGGTGAAACGCAATGTCTCTCGCCAATGCAGTTCACATGGCTAAAACAACAAAATTATTATGCTCCTTCGCACCAGCAGTAAGTCAATCTTCTATCTATCCAATGCTGCTAGATTATAGCAAAAAAACTGAAGATATCATTACAAAGACCCATAAATAAGGTACCAAAAATGTGTTTGTCCATAGCGTATGTACTTGAAAGGCAATGGAATATAAATCCGTAGCAAAGAACAGATCCTACTAGTTAGTATTTTTAATTCCCCATGGACTAAGTCACTTGAAAAAGTTACTTAAGATGTTTTATATTAAGAGTCAACCCGAAATTCTCTTTTGAATTTGCTTTCCATTTCGTAGAACTTTTTTTTAGAATATACGATACTAGCTTTCGCCCGCGACTCCGTCCGCGTGGATTAAAAAAAAACAAAAGTGAGTAGCCCATGTGTTCTTCCAGACTATCCTCTACATCTATACCAAATTTCAATGAAATCCGTTCAGCTGTTTAGGCTAAAAACTCTAACAAACATCCATCCATCCATCCATCCATCCATCTAAACATTCGCATTTATAAGATTAGTATGAAGTATGATTATGAGAGGAAGGATATGTATGTATTGAAATAATTCAAAAACTACGGGGTCGATTTCAAAATAGTTTTTGAATTCCCCAATAAATAGCTTCGTTATAAACGCGGAGCATGCTATATTTATTAGAATTTTTATTTCTGCTCGGACTAGACGCGAGAAACAGCTAATTGTATAATTTTAGATTAAGGGATACCTTATAACAAGAGTCAGTTCGTCCCGATCTGAATCTTTCCTGTCTGGCTGTAATGCAAACTTTCTTGAGGCGCAGTACGTCGACTGGGTGAAGAAAAATCCAGTTGATTCCGTAAGTAAAACTCTTAATGAAATTCTCGAATCTTCGAAGCCATCATTAGGCGTTATATAAAGCTCGACTTTAAATGGCTAAAGAATCCGTGTCTTTAACTTTTTTCAATCCTTAACCCTCTTTACATACGAGTAACTTGCCACAATCGTGTTGCTCATATTTGTTTATTGAAGTTTTAGAAATTATGCTCGTATATCTAGTTACTTTTTTTTCATTATTGATACTAGAGTTATACGAATTTGTAATTTAATAAAAAATATTGCAGTCATGGGATTGTTTTTACGAAAGCCTTAGCGCGAACGAATTGAAAATTGAAGATATTGAAGATGAATTCACACCTAAAACAAAAAGTGGTATGTAAATGTTTTGGTCTTGGCGATTTGGAAATTACTCTTTGCTATAAAAATTATGGCAGGCGCTCGCGCAAACATGTAGTGGTTTGGTATTTTTTATTATTATTCCTACTCGTAATATTCTAACAAAGTTACGTCTAAGTATAAAAAAAAGAAAATAAGAATATGTGGTTAAAGGACTCGCATGGGTAACGCAGTCTGGTTAAGTGTTAAAACCATGTAGATAATCCATTGAAACTTCTAACCGATGACGTTACGATCTTTACTTTAATCTAAATAATTGTTTAGGTGAAACAAGTTGCAAGAAAGCTGATTCAAAAGACACAATCAAGCTGCATCTAGCCGTACAACATTTGATCAGAGGCTTCCAGGTGATTTTCTAAATAACTTGCTTGAAAAATAAACTACAATAAACTAGGTACTTTTCATTTGAAGGATGAGTTAACACGTTGAATGCCGGTGTCTCAAATGGTCCATTACCATACCAGAAGATTTCGAAGTCGTAGTGGCATGGATGGTGTCAATGTGATGTTTGTAGATTCGCGGGCACCTGCTTGCGCATACGGACCCGTTAGGCTTGAGCCTAGCGGCGGACTGGATTCTGCGTGCCAAGCACGAGCGCATGAAGCATATACCTGAATCCTTATCCAACTTCGAGGCCAAGTTCGTAGCTAGAGAGCTGGGGACTGTTCTCAGTATGTTCTGTTTAAATATTTAAAATGCCATTACGGCACTATCATGAACTTGTGAGGCGAGTCAGTGGTACTTAAATAAAATACGAGCGGTGGAAAAAAATATAATAAATGTTTCGTTAATACTTGATAGATGAAGGAACAGTTCAATTTGATTATTAACAGATTAGTATTCCAAAAGTATCCCATTTATGTTTCGAACTTACTGATATAATAACAATAGTAGTAAATGAGCGATTAAAGCAAATTTTTGTACTAACTTCCGTTTAATTTAGTTATTTCGTTTTTTAGCTGACGCACATATGAACATGAAGTTTGAACTACCTCCAATGTGTTACTTGGGAGGAAAAGAAACGGAATTAACATTGAGGTAACAATGATTTACGATTAATAATGTAGCCAAACCAAAAAAAAAATAGAATAGGGTTTAATTGAAAAACCTGGAGTGTATAGTCTTACAATCTTGGAAATATATTAGGATGCGGACGATTATTATATTTGGGCATAAGATAAGGATTAATCATATTGCAGCGAGATTAAGAGTCGCCTGGAGAAGGTGTACTGCGGGCCGATAGGCGCGGAGTATATGCACGTGCTTGACTTGGACAGCTTGCAGTTCGTGCGCGAGAACCTCGAGACGCCCGGCATCCTGGATAAGACGGCCGAGCACAAGAAGCTAATACTGCGCAGACTCACTAAGGCTGTCTTGTAAGCAGCAGCTTCTTTAAGTATAAGGCGGCCAATTAGTGCGAACGAATTACATTATTCCATTTCACTATTCAAAATCAGCGATATACTACAACTGGGATAATGTAAACGCACACTGGAATACACTGTGTAGACCCTAGTTTATATTACATGTTTCCAGTTGTAATCAACCGATTATTTCAATCGATGGACGGGATTGCTAAAAAGCAAATGCAACAAAGTTTGTAAATTCGCTGACTACCTTCAATAGATAAAGTGGAAACGCACAGAAGAAGGATGTTTGAAGAAAGAATGCTAACGTTGTAAATATTATTACCTACACGTTTTTTTGCGCAGCCTTGAGAAATATTTCGCGACAAAATGGCCAGCCGAGAAGCGGTTCGGTCTGGAAGGCGGAGAGAGCCTGATTGTAATGCTGGAGGAGATCGTAGACACGGCGACAGAACTCGGCATCGAGTCTATCGTAATGGCCATGCCGCATAGAGGTTAGATCCAGATTAATTCTAGATCTATCGTTCGTATCGTTAACCACGAGAAATTATCGTAATGTTTTGTATCTTGTAAGACGTATGAAATTAAAAACTATAATTATTTTAAACAGGTCGCCTGAACGTATTGATTAACGTGTGCCGAAAGCAGCTAACAGACATCTTTGCTCACTTCAGGCCTATGGAGCCCAAAGAAGTAGTAAGTTGGACAATATTTGATAAACTTTGATATATGTGTACCAATAAATATTTGTAGCGCTAGTGTACAAAACTCTGGTCAAGTAAAAGAATTAATCAATAACTTCTGGCAACTCTATTATGTTATTACCGTAATTTTAATCAAATATTAACATTGTGTTTAGGGTTCAGGTGATATCAAATACCATCTTGGCACGTACATCCACCGCTTTATCCGGCGCACGAACCGCTACATCAAGGTGTCCATGAGCTGCAACCCCTCACATCTGGAGGTGGTGACACCCGTGGTAACGGGCAAGGCACTCGCCGAGCAGCACTGGACTGGAGACAAAAATGGGGATAAAGTAAGTGCGATCTAGCAATAGTGGACGACAGAAAAAGGAGTCATCTTAGCAGCTTGGAAATGACATGAGTCGCCTAACATAATTTTAGGTATAGCAGAGCATAAATGGATGCGAAGGGAGGCGTTTGTCGCAGCGGTATAGTTCCCAAAGTCAGCCCAATAAGATTCAAAAGATCAGTTATATTCGACTAGCGTCGAGAGCAGCCTTCTATATTAAATCATCTAGCGAGTGCCGCGGCTCCCACTATCATACCTCATAACTAGTATCGTTCTCTTGCCATCTTCTTTATTTTTTCATAACACATTGTTATCCCGGTTGTGTTTAGGTGATGGCGATAATTATGCATGGTGACGCGGCGTTCGCGGGTCAGGGCGTGGTATACGAGACGGCGCACATAGGCCAGCTGCCGAATTTCACAACGCACGGCACCATTCACATCGTCGTCAACAATCAGATCGGCTATACCACAGACCCCAGGTTCGCCAGGAGCTCGCCCTACTGCACGGGTACGTATTGGACTCAATAGCAAATTTGTTTATGTGAAAGTAGTCACAGCAAACAGAATCATTGTTGTGGTCACTAGACTGGATATTAGAACACTAGATTTTTAATAGATAATAAAACTGGAAACTTTTGAGATGTTCAATGATATTAATCTACGTTTTCAGACGTTGCGAAGTGCGTAGACGCGCCCGTATTTCACGTGAACGGCGACGACCCGGAAGCGGTGGCGCACGTGGCAATGTTGGCCATTAAATATCGCTGCCGCTTCAAGAAGGACGTGATCCTGGATCTGGTGTGTTACCGCCGCTTCGGCCACAGCGAGGAGGATGAGCCCATGTTCACGCAACCCTTCATGTATAAGAAGATAAGGCAAATGCCAACCGGTACTCTACTATGATATACCCATTAACTCCCGTTTTATAAATTAGCTTCTAATACTCTTAATTTTACAAGCCTTTAGTGTAAAGAATTAATTTCACTTTCAAATATCGTACAGCAAATTGTTTCCATAAGTTAAAGAAGGATTTATATTTACGTTGCAATAAGTTTCCAATTTAGTTATACTATACTATGATTATAAAATGATATATTACCGAAAGAAATAAACATCTTCATTGACATACTTCCAAAAGAAGGAGGTACACAATTTGTCTTTATATTTTTGTACACCATTTCATTGGCGAGAAGGCATTTATTGATTATAAGTGAAAATGATGGAACAATTTACCTTTACTTTTTGTATTATTAGGATAGTAGTCAGATTAATTTGATTATGCCAGTGGACAAGGTGTACGCGGCGAAGGTGAAGGCCGAGGGTGTCGTGACGGACGCCGAAATCAAGCAGTGGGAGAAGGAGTACACGGACACGCTCAACAAGCACTTCGAGCTCGCCAAGAAGATCACCAAGCTTAGCATCATGGACTGGATCGATACGCCCTGGACTGGATTCTTTGAATCGACGGATCCTAAAAAGGTAATACCGATATAAAAATGTAGATAAACTAGCATTCGCACGCGACTCCGTTCATGAGATTAAAAAAAACAAAAGTGAGTAGACTATGTGTTCTTCCGGACTATCCTCTACATTTATACCAAATTTTATCGTAATTGGTTCAGCCGTTTAGGCTACCAACTCTAACAAACATCCATCCATCCATGTAAACTTTTGCATTTATAATATTAGTAAGATATCGTTTAGATGAACGTTTGTATTTGTTTAAAGTACATATTTTGAGAATATATTGTATTTGAATATAAAAGAGAAATTAATTTACTTACTTATAGTTAAAGTACTTTCTTCCAAACCATGCCAAAGATAATTAAATTTTAATCAAATGCTAAAATTTACAGGTTGCGCCAACTGGAGTTTGTGAAACGTCTATCATGACAATCGCCAATCACTTCTGCAAGCCGCCGGAGCCGTGGGCATTCGAAACACATAAAGGAATCGGTAGAATTTTAGCAAATCGAGAGAAAATGGTATGCATTGAAATACATGTCTAGAGTCCCTTATTGGTGTCGTTTCAGTGTATAACGCCTAGGTCAGGGGTGGTGAACCACTGGGACGCGTGCCATAAATAGCACACGACACAATATTTGGGCACGGTCATAGAGACACTACGAAAAGTATGAAGTATGAAGATTAGGTATTATATAAAAAGCGAACGCGATCTCATTACCATGGAATTGAAATAATAATCAGTCAAAATTATTTGATGGCACGTCTAAGACCGTATTAAACATTTCTTTCCAAATATGGCACTTTGATGCATAAAGTTTCGCCACCCCTGACCTAGAGTACTCTTAGATAAGTCTCTTTAGTTAAGTTGTGAACATAGGTGAAGGAAGGTATCGCAGATTGGGCGATGGGCGAAGCGCTGGCGTATGGCTCACTGCTGCGCGACCACATACACGTGCGGCTTACCGGCGAGGACGTCGAGCGCGGCACCATGGCGCACAGGTGCGTACGCATTCCGCTGCTCATACTATCTAACAAAAACATATTCGCATCTCATTTTTCTAACAAAATATAAAAGAGATAACAATACGTGTGATGGATTATAATGACGTGTGATTTGCAGACATCACGTGTATCACCATCAAGGCGTAGATGGCGCCACCTACCGTGTGCTCGACACTTTATATCCTGACCAGGCGAAGTATTCGCTGCACAACAGTTCACTATCTGAGTTTGGTTAGTTTCCTAATACGATTAAAATGTGATAAACATTCCTATTATTTATTACTTCTTACAGACGGCAAATTATAAATTTCAATTTTTAATTGCACACATCAGGTATTAGCAGACAAAAGTTATAAATTAACTTGATTATTTATCTTAATGTTGACAATAACCGCTGTTTTTTGTTGCCAGGTATCCTCGGCTTCGAAACGGGTTACTCGTACTACAGCCCGCACCAGCTTTCGATCTGGGAGGCGCAGTACGGCGACTTCGCGGACACGGCGCAGCCCGTATTCGATACATTCACCTGTAACGGCGAGAGCAAGTGGATCTGCCAGTCGGCGCTGGTTGTCGCCCTCCCACACGGCATCGACGGCGCGGTAAGACACGTGCATATTGCATACCAAGATAAGAGACATTGGAAGGAAAAGGTAATTTTTGGTTGGCATATATAGAAAAGGGAAGTATCCTTTTTTCTGTACAATCTTCTCCCCTGTCCTTTACAGGTAGGCGTTGCGTCTCAAACATTCTAGGTTATCACAATAATTTAGCTGAGGAAGCCGCTTACTTGTTTGCCACCTTGTATAAATAGACATAAGGAGATAATGTGTTTGTTGGTTTTGAGGTACCTAATATTGTTTAACCCTAGGGTCCAGAGCACTCGTCGGCGCGCGTGGAGCGCTACCTGTCTCAGTGTGATGACCACGAGGACCAGGTGCCCGACCTCGACGACAAGGATATGGTCTGTTAGTATCTTTACAGAGAGTTTGTCAATATTTCATAACTAGTGCCGGTCGAATTCTTACCGTTGTGGTTAAAAATACATTGTAGGATTATAATAGTAATATCGCTTACCGACAGTAAAACAGCTGAAGTCAGCCAACTGGATTGTATGCAATGTGACCAACCCAGCGAACTACTTCCACATGATGCGGCGCCAGATCGCACTGCCCTTCCGCAAGCCATTGATCATCTTTACGCCTAAGGTCGGCCTCAAGCACCCTTACTACAGATCACCCTTTAAAGACTTCTACCCCGGCACATCCTTCCGCAGGTAAGATGTTAAAACGAACTTATAGAATTCAATAGACAAGTTCTTATAATAAATTACAAACTATCTCTTATATCTATTTAGTTTATATAAAACTCGAAATATGTTTGTGTTACTTTTTACAGGGTAATACCAGAAGACGGGCCAGCGTCCAAGAATCCGGCCGGCGTGAAGAAGTTAATCTTCTGTTCTGGGAAAGTGGCGATCACGATTTCTGAATTGCGGAAAGAGAAGAAGCTCGAAAATAAGATTGCGATGTGCCGGATCGAGCAGCTGTATCCGTTTCCTTACGACCTGGTGCTGAAGGAGTTCTGCAATTATCCGAAGGCGAAGGTGGCGTTCTGCCAGGAGGAGCACAGGAACCAGGGACCCTGGCTCTATTGCAAGGTCCGGATGGAGAACTTGTTTGGAAAGAAGATTGAGTGAGTACCATTCACTTTTTGGTTCTTTTTATCTGATTGTTTTCTAGATGTATGTATGTAGTTCTGTCACAAAAAAGTAGCATTATCTGATAGATTTGTAAGTCTATTATACAGTATCTTGCAAATATTTAAAAGATGATAGTATAATGATGGGGAAACTCACAAATGGGGAAAGGGATTGGCTCCTGCAGCACAGGGGAACCTAGTGCAGGAGCCAAGGCTCTCATGAAATGTGTATATTTTTAAAGTGAAATAATAAAGGATTTATTATTATTATTATTATTATTAATGATAAGATGTAGCTAAATAACATCTAAATTGTGAAGGAATCAAATTTTCCCAGATGCATCTCACGGCCGCCCAGTTCTGCGTCGGCGACGGGCATCAAATGGCTGCATCAAAAGGAATTGAAGGCCTTAAAAGAAGCCATTATAAAAATCTAGACTTATGTAACAGCTTGTATAAAGTATTTGGTGATGTTTTGTCAAATTGATACGAATTTAAATGATGTGCGAAACATGTTTCTTTTCCAAGGTCACAAAAGGAAACTAAATTGATTGCGAATGTTAATTAAAACAAAATTATAAAATGTGAAAAATTTATTTATGCATTTTTTTACAATTGATTTCTTTGTGCCACTTATTGATGTTCTAACAAACCATTTTAACGATATACATTGAGCTTTCGGCTGAAAATTAACTCTCAAAATCAAGACTTATTGGAATGGTCTTACAGCGAGACGTAAATAATCTATAACATTTATAACAAACATACGGGAGGTAACATTACTCATATCAAAAGTACAATAAATTGCTATCACACAAGTAAAAATACTGAATTTAAAAGTAATTGATTTACTGATTATTAAAATCACTGATCTGTATAAATGGATAGTTCATTGCTGAGTAACGACTATTATTGCTTCGATGACTTAAAAGTGCCTGTTGGTTAATTCCATCATCAGTTACAATCCTCGTAACCAATCGTCAGCGTTAAAATGGCGAAAATAAAAAAATATTGTAGCCTGTCCATTTATAGAGGTCAGTGATCAAAATGCAAACTCAAAAATTACCCTAAACTCCACTGCATACCCGACAATCGAAACCCAGTATAGCTTAAATTATTGAAATTAATTATAAACTTTATCTCGTTAGAAATACGCCACTAAATTGCGTGTAAAAGCATAACGCATATCAAAAATATATATTCATTTATAGTTGATTACTAAAATATATGAATATGATCACAATGCAACTATGTTGCTTTCAAAATAGCTATAAAATGGAACTCTCAAACATCAAAATAAAAAGAATAAGGGCCTGTCCCACCACTAGCTGATAGAGGCTCGGATAGGTTAAAAATGACGTTTACAAGTTTTACACATTGGATTATTAGACAATTTACATTTTGGTGGGACACGCCCTAAGTAATTACATTTCGACTATATTATTTATAACACGGCTAAAACTCACGTGGGAACTTTCGGTGTAGGCACCGACCAGTTTCGAACCCGTAGGGGGTCCTTCTTCAG